GTCACGTCTGCCTGAAATAACTTCACCCAGTGTTACAGAACAGCCAGGGTAGCCAAGTGACTTGGAAGATTTGTTCCTGCAATTTTGCCGTCGTATCTTTCTCGCTCCCTGTTTACATCCGACCTCTCAAACCACTAACTCCGCCTTGAAAGAAATTCCCCCAAGCCTTTTCCATTATGATTGATCTCACTGAATCAGCTAATAACAGATTTATTTCCTCATTTGCTTTGTGCTGCCAGCTGAAGTAAGAGAAAAGAGGGGAAAAGACACCCTCCTCCCCGCCTCCAACCCTGCCTTTGGGGAAGCTGGAAGCTACTTCCAGACAAAACTGTTATCCATTAACATCCAATTATCACTTGGTCCAAGCCATTAATTATAAATCAGCCTCCTAATTGGGATAATTAGCTCTCTGCTTCTTAATGTGGTGTGACTGATGCGTTTGGAAAGAATGTAATCACTCCATTTGTTTAGCGTGAGGCGGAGAAATCCAACTCTCATGGTTTAATTTTAGCCTGATCCTTCTCATCAGCAGCATTAAAAGCTCTTTACGGCCCTATTAATTGGTGGAGAATCATGCCTGGGATGGAGACCTGCCAGTGTATTGTTTTACACCCGAAGGCGATCGCTTTCCAAGTACTTTTAAAATCGGCACTTCCGAGCGAGTGTTTCACACTGCAGCTCCAGGTGGTCTTGTTTGTTGTGCGTTAAGCAAAAGAGGGCTGCTTATGTTTTTCTGCCTCTTCTGCAGTGGACCTGCGCTGTTTTGTCTAGCCTGATTTTATTGTGTCTACTCTCCCCTTAATCCTTCGCTTACCCCGTTTGCAAAAGAAAACCGATTTCCCCACTGTGTTCCCAGCAGATGGGGAGAGTATCTGTAAATCTTCCTCGAAAAAGAAGTAAGGTCTGGAGAACTGGGGATAAATGGATGTGTTAGAAGTTGCTTGCTGTGCAGGTGTTTCTAAGAGTCCTAGTGATGATCTATAATTTAGTTTTTATCCCGGAATGAATCAAGGCTGCTTCTCTGTCTACGCCCAAAGAAAGCTGCTTTGTCTGCATACTCGGTCCCTACTCTAGAAGGGGAAACGAGCCACGCACCACAGTCCCACGTGAGCATTTTCAGGTTAAAAAATAAATTAGGAGGCACTGCCATTCCGGGCCGTTTTCGTTGTCCTCCTGTGACTTTGCAAACGCGGTTTCCATCATGTCTCAAAAAAAAAAATCGTTTACCGGAGCTACAAAACTTTTCCGTGACTTGATGTTTCATTAATGAGGGCTGCGCAGAGAAGCGACGATAGCTGGGGGGCATGATTAGATATTTATTACTGTCATTTACATGGAAAACTTGAGCAGCCAACCAAGTGGAACCGAAAGGGGTTTGTTGATTATTATAATTGTTACGTTTTAACAATAGAAACCGGTGCAAAGCTCAGGAAAGTGCCCGAATGTTGCGCCACACAGCAGGTGTGTACGTGTGTGGATTTTTGGAAAGGGTAGGGGCTTTTTCAGAGGTGTTTTCATATCAGAATAAAACTTTGGGAGCTCACCCTCAAATCGTCACATCA